CCTGCTCGTGCTCTCTCAAATAAACAAATAAATTAAAAAAAAAAAAAAAAAGGGCACCTGGGTGGCTCAGTGGGCTAAAGCCTCTGCCTTCAGCTCAGGTCATGATCCCAGGGTCCTGGGATCCAGCCCTGCATCTGGCTCTCTGCTCAGCAGGGAGCCTACTTCCCTTCCTCTCTCTGCCTGCCTCTCTGCCTGCTTGTGATCTGTCTGTCAAACAAATAAATACAATCTTAAAAAAAAAAAATCAATGTCAAGTTGAACTAACAGGAGAAAGTTATTATTTTTTAATTATCTCAAAGAATTACAAGTTGAGTAGAGGAAAGAGATAGAAACTGTCAACTCTTTTCTAAAGCATTTGTTATAACGCTTTACAAAATCACAGTAGAAATGTTAATCAGTTGGTTTGAAACTTACACTCCTGTAAACTAAAATACTCCTCCCACAAAGGATGTTCACAAAAACAATCACTAGTAAGAGAAGAGATAGACGATTGAATTTGATGTATTTAATATTCTGAACAACAGACAAATCAACCTGTAGCTGATTCACAATGCGAAGGTTTTAAAATACCATAGATACTATATCAGTTTAGTATAAATTACCTAAATTTCTATAATGATTACTTTAAAAATATATGTTTTATTTGTTTATTTGTGAGAGAGAGAGTACAGGGTCCTGAGCAGGGGGGTGGGCAGAGGGAGATGGGGAGAGAGAAATCCCAAGTAGACTCCCTGTTCGGTGTGGAGTCCAAGGTGGGGCTCAATCTCAGGACTCTAGATCATGACCTGAGTGGAAATCAAAAGTCTGATGTTTGAGCTACCCAGACACCTCTGGAATGATTACTTTTGTGTCTAAAAGAGAAGACAATCAGATGTTTCTTTAGACAACATAAGTACAGCAAAGTCAGAAATAGTTAACCAGCAAAATTGCCACTTTAGGTAGAAGCAATCCCTTTCTTCTTTAACCTCCCTAAAAGGACCTAGTTATTGTTGAAAAGTAAACCATAGGCCCAAAATGGCATTACTCAGGCCAACTCACCAAAGGTATCAAGCCCCTATATTGGGCTTAATACCTAACCTAATTGCAGTTTCAACCTCCCTTAGAAATCTAAGTCTTACCTAACCAGTTAGGAATTTTCTGATAAACACCAATGAGGTAATCTGTCACATGGGTCCTCTCCATTCCCCCAAAGATGAGGTAATTCCACCTAACAAGACCCCCTATATTTCCCACAAGGGAAGATGACCTTGACTGAAACAATCCTTTCCTTAATTTTGCTAATAGATTACTTCCTTGTCCTACCCTCTCCTATAAAAACCTTCCATATTGTACAAATCGGTGGAGTTCCCCTCTACTTGTTAGATGGGACACTGCCGGATTCATGAATCCCTTAATAAAGCTAATCAGATCTTCAAACTTACTCAGTTCAATTTTTCTTCTTTAAAATTATGAAATCTCTCTTACCATCCCATTCAAAAATCAGTCTTCACCCTTCTCTCCCTTGATAAATTATGAATTCCCCAAGGTCAGGAAACGGTCTTGCCTTATTTATTCCTCACAGTATGTTGTGGGGGTGGGGTAATCTGAAATTTTAAATAAAGTGGGCAGGGTGAGCCTCTTTGAGAAGGTGACAGTGAAGCAGAGACTTAAAGGGGATGAAGACGTTGGCTGTGGTGGCTGTTCGGGGGGGGGGGTAGGAGGAGGGGCACTCTCAGGTCTAATACCTGATGTGTTTGTGGAAAGGCAAGGTGGCCTGTCACGGCTGAAGCCAAGTGTGCTAGAGGAAGAGTACTAGGGAAGGACGTGGAAAGATGTGAAGAGGCCAAGACCTGGCCCCTTCCTTATCTCTTATTGAGACAAGGAGTCAGTTCAAACTGGATCAAAGATATGAAGTACCTGATTTGCATTTTAAAGGGATTACAGAGCTGATTTTTGAGAAGGAATCAGACTGGTGAGAAGGTCTGACTCACAGTTGAAGAGCAGCCCTCTGGCAACTCTACTCAGTATAAATTTAGGAGGGACATGGAGAGAAGCAGAGAGACCAAGTAAGGGGCTGTAACTCAAAAGTGAAGGCCAGATGACAGGGGCCGGAACCTAGATGGTAGTGATGAAGATGCTGAGAATTTGTCAGATCTTGGATCTTGCAGTATATGCTCCTGGGACTGGGTGTGCAGTTTGAGCAAAAAGAAACAAATAAAAAATGGTGCGGGGCTTGGGGCCTGCTGGAAGGGCAGAGCAGCCCTTTAGTGAGAAGTCTCAGGTGGGAGAATACCAGAAGTGTAGTTCTAGAATTGAGGCCCTTATTAGAAGTCTAAGAGGATATGACCAGTCAGCAGTTGACTCTGTGATTCTGGAGTTTAAAAATGGAGACAGGGGCGCCTGGGTGGCTCAGTGGGTTAAAGCCTCTGCCTTCAGCTCAGGTCACGATCCCAGGGTCCTGGGATCGAGCCCCACATTGGGCTCTCTGCTCCGGAGGGAGCCTGCTTCCTCCTCCTCTCTGCCTACTTGTGATCTCTGTCTGACAAATAAAAAATAAATAAATAAAAATTAAAAAATGGAGACAGAAAATCTGGGAATCATGAGATGCTAAGAGCCATATGGCTATAGGAGATCACGTACGGGTAAAGAACAGATAATGCCTATCGTAGATCTAATTACACGTGGGTCCAGAGCAACAATGAGAGGTCATGGCGATGAGGAGGAAGAGGAAGCTAAGAGGGATCTGCGCCCAAGAAGGAAAGAAATAGGAGGGAGGGGTACACCCAAGGCAAAGTGAAGAAAGTGTTGCAAGAATGCGGTCAGTGCAAATTCTGCACACCTTGCCTTCCTAAGTACATTCTGCCTGTCCTTCAGAATAGGACATTCTTTTGATAAGCCCTTTCTGACCAACCCTGCCTTCTTAGATGATCCTCCCCTGTATTGCAGAATCACTGTGTAGGTCTCAATGTCAACACGCAAAAATGCTGATGAAAGAACGAAGGAAGTGCTCAATGAATGGCAGAGAAGCACAGATGACCAGTGAGGACGGTGTATACAGGGCACAGACAGAGCCTGGAACGAAGACCAACACATCAGGGTACCACAGCTTAATGGCAACAGCCGTGAGGTTATTCAGCTAACTCCTCTCGCTCTCCTTCCAGGCTTATCAAGCCCAACTATCCAATATAATCTCGTTTCCTTCATGCATCTTCCTGAGCAGTTAGAAAGCGACAACTAGCAAACAATAAATATCTATTCCAACCAGTGGCTAGATTTCTCACTGTGCACAAATAGATTGGTGTTCTGTTTTAGGAATTAGTCTCATGCAAGTTTGGTTAGCGTGTTTCTCTCTGGACCGGTGGTGGTGTTCAGTCTGTTTGTTTTCTGTTTCTCAAGTGCCAAAACCATGCTGTGAGATCTAAATGCGGCTGACTGGCACCTGCAGATGTCTATGGTACAGAAAACCAGGACATCCATGCTGTGTGACTGACCGCTACAGGGAAATACTGATTTGCATTTATTTTGTCTCTTGTCGACATGTAATAATGGTCATAGCCGGAATTCTTATATAATGGATCAAGGAGAGGGCGCTATACCATGTCTACAGCAAAAAAGGATATTTTGTTGTTTCAAATATGGCCCATTTTTCTGACTTTGAATTTATTCCCTAAATGGAAAAATAGAATCCTAGAAGCCACACTAATACATTCCAGGTTGAAACCTAATATTTGTTAGTATAGCTAGTCTTGCTAAACTACATCAATTTGTAATGCTCTGACAAAATAGGGTATGTAGTCCTTCAAAGACCAAAACGTAAACTATGCTGACACAGCTAAGGTAATTTACTTGTAAGGTGCTAACAGAGTTTGGATTGGGTCTCCCTCTGGGATACGCATACCATATCCAAATTCATGTGTCAAGGAAAATTTTGGATGAAATTATTTGGAAAAATGACACCAAATAGATAAAACCTGTGCCACAGTTTTCACTTTTGAAAACATGTTGGAGAGTAATCCTTCCTCTTTTTACTGACATCAAGGAGATGAGAACAAAATTTACAAGTGTATAATTTCTTGTTACTAATCCATCAGTCTCTATAAACAAGCTAATAAGCTCTTTGTATTTTTTATACCTTTTGTGTTTTGTTTTTTTTAAGATTTTTTTTTTAAATTTATTTGACAGAGAGATCACAAGTAGGCAGAGAGGCAGGCAGAGAGAGAGGAGGAAGCAGGCTCCCCGCTGAGCAGAGAGCCCGATGCGGGGCTTGATCCCAGGACCCTGGGATCATCCCCTGAGCCGAAGGCAGAGGCTTTAACCCACTGAGCCATCCAGGCGCCCCTACCTTTTGTATTTTTATGTCCTAAATATATCTGAAATCTAAATCCCCTTCATGCCCTCCCCTACCCATGGCAGCCAGAGAGTCATGGTAGGAGGACACTGATGCAGCCAAACGAGCTGTGTGTCTGACTCTGGAAACCCCATCACCTGGATTTTTCCTTAGAATGGGTTTTCGTGAATGGAGAAAACCCATTACATTATATTAGAATTTGCTACACCCTTTGCATTACAGGCATTGTTAATCGTGTTAATTAGTAGCTGCTTTTCCAAGAGTCAGTTTGGCAGTATTTAATGTCAGACCCGGTTCTTAACCCCATTGCACTGGCCTTTAGTCCTGGTGTCCTACTTTGATTTGTTCACATGGTCTCCTTTAGTCATATGAACTAAAAACAGTGGAGACTAAGGGAAATTTTTATAAGTACCCTTTTATTTTATAAGTGAACTGCAATTTTATAAACTATGTTGATAATAGAACAAAAATAAAAACAAAAACAAAAAACAAACAAAAAAACTTTCTTTGAATCATCCAGGAAGATATGGGTTGAACTCCAGAGAATATTTGAACAAAATTAATAAGAAAGTGGAAAACCTTTGAAATAAGACTGGCCTGTGGGTTTAGGACTTCTTACAGTGATATCCTGACCATATGCTTAGATACCTTTACTTTATGGCATATATCTTACCTTTACTTCCACGTGTGCCATCAGTACTGCAAAATTGGTTAGGTGATTACAAGAGCACGTAGTATGTGTCTTATTTGTTGTCAGAAGCCGGCAGCCTTGTGTTGACCAATAACCTGTCATTGTGCGCTTGGAATAGCTCCAAAATGAACAGTTAGGGTTGAAATTCTCCTCGGACTGCTACAGAAGGGGAAAAAAAATCAATAAAGCCAATGACTACTTTACGATCACGTACATTAGATAGGCATTTTCTTTACATCTAACACACATCATACTGTTCCCACTTCTGTGGAGATGTACACCACTGTTTTCAGATTAAGTAGGCTTCATTAAGCCTAGGCAAATTTGAATATATATTGTTGTTTATTTCCTCTAATTAGAGGTAAGTTTGGCTTTTAAAAAATTAATATTATTGGAATACTATATCAATGTCTCAGAATGACTTTAACTAATTTCAAAGTAACATACATTATAAAGGATTTAATTACTCTAAACAATTTCTGAAAAGATGGTCTTTAGAAATCTTTGTTTACTTTATAATATAATCTTTGTACATACCTAAAAATATATTCAAGCACAAAGACATAATTACTTGTGACATCATATGTGAAGCCATGTCCAATTCCACTAAATATGTTGTTAACTCTTTTTAATTATGGAGATACATTTAGAAATCCATCTACAAATATTTTTATCAGAAGCACTTATATATTTAAGAGTTATTCTCCTCCCTCATCTTAGAAAAGAAAAATCACCACTATCATTTTATAGATAATGAATTGTTATCTGTCAAATAATGGGAAAAATTAAAGGAAAATTAGTTCATGTTCGTGCTGTAACAGATACAGACAATGTGGACAACTAAACTTATCACGGCATGTTCTTACCTTAATATGTTTAACAGTGAACACCACAGGATCAGCTAAATAAACCTTATTGCTGAACTCTTTGTTTATTGCTGCTGTAATAACAGGGGAATTGACAATAACAGAATGATTGGTGGACATAGCCTCTGTTCCCAACTTCATGCTGGCATTCTCCGTGGACAAATAAGGACCCAAGTTGTTGTACAGGACAAAGGCCACTCTGATCTCTCCTGAAAAAAATGTAAATGTGAATTATAAGTTGGGAAGAAACTCTGATTACTTTGTACATTCCACCAAATTTAGATACTTCTAATTAAATTATAATCAAATCCATACAGTATACATTCACAACAAAATTAAGCATTCATTTTAACCAAAGTGCCAAGGTATTCATGAAAAAAGGAATGTCAAATGATGCTGAAAAACAATCTATCAGTATTTTAAAAAGTGAATGAATCGCTCTGTACTCAAAACTTAAAGACTTAGGGACGCCTGGGTGGCTCAGTGGGTTAGAGCCTGTCTTCAGCTCAGGTCATGATCCCGGGTCCTGGTATCCAGCCCTGAATCTGGCTCTCTGCTCAGCAGGGAGCCTGCCCCCGCCCCCACCGTCTGCCTCTCTAGCTACTTATAATCTCTGTCTGTCAAATAAATAAAATCTTAAAAACAAACAAACAAACAAATAAACTTAAAGACTTAAAGACAGATTATAGACCTAAACATAAAAACCAGAACCATAATATTTCTAGAACAAAATAGAGGATCTTTGTGATCTTGGAGTAGGCAAGGATGACTTGGATAGGATCCAAAAGACATTAACCATAAAAGAAAGAAAGAAAGGTAAACTACACTTTATCAAAATTTAAAATGTGTCTATCAAAATATTATATCAACAATATTATTTATTGTTAATAATATATCATACTTTATATAATATATTATGTATATTATATTTTGTGATATAAAATTATAATATAAATATTATATTAACAATAATATATATTAGACCCCTGACTATATATAGGGTTTCTGCTAATCAACCAAAAAATGAATAAATAAGACATGAAAATGGCAAAAGACATAAACATATACTTCAGAAAAAAGATACATGAAAGGCTAATAGAAACATGAAAAATTATCACCATCATTAGTATTTATGGAAATAAAAATGAAAAAAACACACCAAGATACCATCTCATAACCACTAGAATTTCTAAAATCAAAAGGACTGGTCACGCTAATATTATAAAGATGAGGAACAGCCACAGTTCCTGCACACTACAGGCGGAAATGAGAAGTAGTTCAACTATGTGGAGAAATGGTGATTTTTTTTCTGTGAAGTCGAACATATCTACCCTTCCTAGATAAACGAAAATATAAATCTATAAAGAAAAAAAAAACTTGTATAAGATGAATAGCAACCTTATAATATCTGCCAAAGGGAAACAACTAAAAAATATATCAACAGACAAATGAATTATGGCATACGATATAATGGAATAGACTGTGCATCAATGAAGAACAACTGATAGAACAAAGAAGAAACTACCATTAGAGCATGATGACAGAATCCCCAAAATACTGTGTTTGGTTAAAGAACACAGACAGAAAAGAGCACGTACTATATGATTCCACTTGTGTGAAGTCTAAGAACAGGTGAAATTTGTCTATAGAGATCGTAATGAGAGTAGTTGCATCAGATGAGGAGAGGTGGTAAGAAGACTGGAAACGGGTAACAATTTCCGAGTAATAGAAGAGATTTGTATCTTATTTTAGGTAAGATTACAGAGGAATGTACAACTGTCAGGTTCATCAAGCTACATTCTTAAGGGATATGCATTTTATTTTATGTGAATTATATTTCAATTGCAGTGAAAATAATAAACAAATAACAAGGACTCAAAATCCTTATCTGTTTTTGAACACAATTACCATGTTCTTCGAAAGTCACTTTCTCCATATATCCTTCGACCTTATTTTTTTCTCTTATGACTATCTCCCACCAGCAATCTTTTGTAAAATTAACCTTTTTTTAACATGGGGAGGAAGGGCGGAGGGAGAGGGAGGAGCAGAACCCTGCTGAGCAGGGAGTCCAATGCGGGGCTCCATCCCTGGTCCTGGGATCATGACCTGAGCTGAAGGCAGATGCTTAAGTGACTGAGCCACGCAGGTGACATGTTTCTGATCATATCATTTTCTTTCTTAAAATACATCAAGCCCGGGGCGCCTGGGTGGCTTAGTGGGTTAAAGCCTCTGCCTTTGGCTCAGGTCATGGTCCCAGGGTCCTGGGATTGAGACCCACATCGGGCTCTCTGCTCAGCAGGGAGCCTGCTTCCTCCTCTCTCTCTGCCTGCCTCTCGGCCTACTTGTGATCTCTGTCTGTCAAATAAATAAAATCTTTAAAAAAAAATTAAAAAAAAATAAAATACATCAAGCCCTATGTCTTACTTCCAATATGAATTTATATCGGCTCAGTCCTGATAGCTGCTGTCCAGATAGGCACTGTCCTGACTATCACAGAAGTCTTAATCCTTATCCCTGAGTCTTAGAGTCAAGTGGGAATAAGAACAAGGAAATTTTAATAGACTTCTTTTGAGGAGGGAGGGGACTGTCCAACATCTAAACTGTGCTCCCATGTTTGGAAAATTCCCAATTATTGGGGATTTATAGACACAAAATGGATGCACATTGGCTTTCCCAGCCTGTTTTGCAAAGAGGTTGCTCTGGACACCAGAGCTCGATGCCTCCCATCATCTGCACTCGTCTCTGACTTCAGATGAGGAGCTGGTGACACAAGGAAGCGGGAGGTGATGCAGCCCAGCCGCCTTCACTTACGCCTCACTCGTGGCAGCCGTGACATTGCAAGCAATAACTCCGTGTGATGCTATGGGCTGCTGTCAGCCTCCTAGCTCTTGCTGGTTTTCTGGGCCCAGTTCTCCAGCCTTCTCATTGATCCTATGAGATACCCATATACTTTCAGTAATTTAGCAACGAGATTATAAGAGCTACATAAAGGAAAGAGCCGTTGTTAAATTTCCAATCCACATCTGTTAACATGTACTCAGGAAAGAACAGCAATTCACTAAATATTTCTTGTCTGTTATAACACAGCATTTAATTTTAGTGCTTTTCTCTAGATTTAATATGAAAATACTAAGTTTTGGAAGGTTACACTTCAGAAGAACATCTTTCTCCCCCCTCCCTTGTTGACAGTAACAACTTTTATTTTAACTGGTTGATAGCCAGTTGATAATTCCTACCAATTTCCACCTACAGGACAGTGTCATGTTGATCTCCCCCCTTGTTTTATCAATGCATTTAGTTATGTATAATTGTTACAGATTCTGCACTCCAAAATTAATGCTTAAATGTGACCTAACACACACACTCACACACACTACTTTAGAAAATAAAATAAATGAGTATAAAACAAAATATGACTAATATAACCATATTTTGATTGCCAATAGCTTTATATCTGCAAGTTCATATACTTATTTGAGAAATTCTTAGAGAGTTTATCCATGTGCCAGGCACAAGTGTTACATATAACAGATGACAAGTAAGAAGAGATCCCTGTTCTCATGAGCTTACCACTTAGAAGGAAAGTCAGATAATAAGCAGGCAACTTAAAAATAATAATAATAATATTTCATATGATGTTAAGTGAATAATCACCATGAGGAAGCAATAGTATAAAGTGGCTAATGGGAAAAGAGCAATTAGGAAAGAATGGTGTACCTTCAGGGAGACAGAGAAAAACTTCCCTTCCTAAAGAGGTAAGATTTATACTGAACAGTAAATGATAGAGAAGCTTCTATGTAAAGAAATGTAAAAACTACATTCCAGGAAGAAAACAAAATGCAAAAATCTGACACAGAAACACTCTTGGTGTATTCAAGACTAGATCAGAGAGAATCCTTGTGCACTGTTGGTGGGAATGTAAACTGGTACACCACTGTGGAAAACACTGTGGAGGTGCCCCCAAAAATTAAAAATAAAACTACCATATGATCCAGTAATTCCACTTCTGGGTTTTTATCTGAAGGAAACAAACACACTAACACAAAAAGATCTCTGTACCCCATGTTCACTGTAGCATTATTCAAAAGAGTTAAGATATGTAAACACCCTTAGTGTCCACTGATAAGGGAATGGATGAAAAAAATGGAATATTACTCAGCCATTAACAAAGAATGATATCTTATTATTTATGATAACATGAATCGACCTTGAGGGCATTATGCTAAGTGAAATATGTCAAACAGGGAAAGATAAGTATTGTATATTCTCACTTATATATGGAATCCTTAAAAAAAAAAATAAAACAAACTAAATTCATAGATACAGAGAACAGACTGGTGGCTGCCACTGCAGGGGGCGGTGGATAGGCAAAATGGGTGAAAAAGGTCAATAAGTACAAACTTCCAGTTATAAATAAATGTCATGGGGATGTAACATATGGCATAGTGACTGTAAGTTAATAATACTGTATTATATATTTTGAAAGTTGCTGAGGAGTTCAATCTTAAAAGGTCTCATCACAAGAAAAAAATAAAACTGTATGTGGTGATAAGTGTGAACTAAACTTACTGTGGGGATGATTTTACAATATAGACAAATATCGAATCATTATATTGTACTCCTGAAACTAATATAAAGTCCCATGTCACTTCTAGCTCAATAAAAAAGAAAAAGGATCAAGACTAGACTGTCTGAGTCATAGAGAGCAGGTTAAAGACAGACAGGAAGTAGGGCAGATGAGGCGGGAGAGAAGTGGACAAGCACTTGGTGGCCTAGTGAAATCCTCTGATTTTGTTCTGAACGCAACCGGAAGCAAACTGGTCAGATTGACGTTTCCAGAAGATCCTTGTCAACAGGATATTCTGTCAGGAGGCAGGAAGAGTGGAGAGAGGGAAGCCAGCTGGAAAGCGAATGCAGAAATCTGATTTTGCTTCGTAGAAAATCTTACTGTAGCCTCAAAATTCATATAGTCAAATTAGCAATATAATGACTTCGAAGGTCACTTATACGATTTCCAACCTTAAAAGAATTCTGTTCTGTTGGCAACAGCCATAATTTGTTTTGTCTTGGTATTATTCAACAGGCTTTTCTTTCTTTAAAACTATGCACCCTGCACCATGAAATGCCACCTCTGAGTTGGTTGCTATAGCCTGAGGTCATCTTCCCATGATCTAACAGGTCAAAGGTCTCATTTAGTTGGCAAAAGTGTGTTTTTTTGTTTTTTGTTTTGTTTTGTTTTTAAAGATTTTATTTGTTTATTTGACAGAGAGAGATCACAAGTAGACAGAGAGGCAGGCAGAGAGAGAGAGAGGGAAGCAGGCTCCCTGCCAAGCAGAGAGCCCGATGCGGGACTCGATCCCAGGACCCTGAGATCATGACCCGAGCCGAAGGCAGCGGCCCAACCCACTGAGCCACCCAGGCGCCCCAAAAAGTATGTTTTTAAAAATTTAATACTAGGGGGACGCCTGGGTGGCTCAGTTGGTTAAGCAGCTGCCTTCGGCTCAGGTCATGACCCCAGTGTCCTGGGATCGAGTCCCACATCGGGCTCCTTGCTCAGCGGGGAGCCTGCTTCTCCCTCTGCCTCTGCCTGCCATTCTGTCTGCCTGTGCTTGCTCTCTCTCCCTCTCTCTCTCTCTGACAAATAAATAAATAAAATCTTTAAGAAAAAAAAATATTTAATACTAGGGACACCTGGGTGGCTCAGTCGGTTAAGTGTTTGCCTTTAGTTCAGGTCATGATCCTAGGGTCCTGGGATGGAGTCCCACATCGGGCTCCTTACTCGATAGAGAACCTGGTTCTCCCTCTGCCTGCTGCCCCCCTGCTTGTGCTCTCTCTCTCTCTCTCTCTGACAAATAAATAAAATCTTTAAAGAAAATTAATACAGTGACAACTTGAGACATATTTTCTCTATGATTTTATTTAATTCTCATTATATTCAGTGAATTTAATCTAGTATCAAACTGACCTATATTGACCAGTACCTTTCCCCCAACTCATCTTCTCACATTTTAAATTTTCTGTATGCTTTTCAAAAAAAAAATTATAGAAACACTTTCAAAACTAGTGAATAAGGAAAACAATACAACTTTAAAATTAGAAGTAAAATTTCCATTAAAAATTTTAGAAACAAGGGGCGCCTGGGTGGCTCAGTGGGTTAAAGCCTCTGCCTTCGGCTCAGGTCATGATCCCAGGGTCCTGGGATTGAGCCCCACATCGGGCTCTCTGCTCAGCAGGGAGCCTGCTTCCTCCTTTCTCTCTCTTTGCCTGCCTCTCTGCCTACTTGTGATCTCTGTCTGTCAAATAAATAAATAAAAAATAATAAAAAAAAAAATTTAGAAACAAAATCTGTCAACTCAGTAAGAGTTACTCCTTTCAAGAAAAAAAGTCAGATATCTGGATTTTGTTGTTCATTAATTCCTCTCAGATTCAAGTTTCTGACATTGTACTGCAACTGAAAATGCACAGAACAATTTCCAAATCTGAGAATTTTATAGAGCAAACACACTGCAATATTGTTGGTGCATAAGATAGGAATGAGGAGGCAGAGGAGAGAGAGAGAATAGTTGAGTGAGAGTAAGAGAGCTTTTGGATAGCAGATCTAAACCCCCAAGCCAAGAAAGAAAGCATTGATGACGAGTTCAATCTCACCATGCTTAACAAATAAACTCTAACCTACCGTTTCGACCATTTTGTTTTAAAGTATTTGCGGAGAGCTGGATAGTGCTTCCGTGACCCATGTTTTCTGGAAATTTTAGGTCTTCTAAGTTTCCTTCCGTGCTCAGCCTTGCAACTTCCAACTCTGTTAATGGCAAAGAGTTATCAGTGCTCATTGAGAAATACACCAAAGCTAAGATGATTTCCTAAATTACTGAAATATTTCTGAAATCAAAATACCAGAATTAATGTTCTACTAATTTATAGTAGTCAAAATGAATAGTGGTTCAATGTTTCATTTCAAAAGTATTTCTTTAGTACTTTATCTTTAAAATAAGACAAAAACTATTAAATAGGTAAATAAGAACACAAATATATCAATTATAAAGCCTAAAATTTAAAATCAAGCTCAAATCCTTATGGTTTGTCAACTTTGTTACTATATCTTCCAAATATTGTTACTATATCTTCAAAATATTATCTTTCTTTTGTGAATTAAGTAAAAGTCTCTTTATAATCTAGAGCTGCACTGTTATATCAATATTGATCGATCTTTAAATCTAATAAGTTTGAAATAGCTTTATCAAATCTTCTGAAATAAAACTGTCAGCTATATCCTTATGCACAATAAAAATAGATTTATACTCCTTATGAGCCAATAACACAATTACAAAAAAAACACTGCTTTATCACCTTCACTTAAATGAGTGATTTTTTATAATACATAATTCAGAGATATTCTTATCATAACTGACGTGACCCATAGGCACTGTTAGGAGGATAAATTTTAAATAGCACAATGCAGACATCGATACACATGGACATAAAAAACTAATTAGCTAACTAAAGGACCTAACTGTGAGTGATCTCAGGCTAATATATCCAATATTGGGATATCCTAAGGAGGGTAACACACATGCTTATGAGGAATGACTCTTTTAAGCCAATGGCAGGTGATATCCTTCTAATTATAGAAAAAAAAAATCACTTATCTCCACTGAAATAAAAGTCACTCATAATACCTGCACTACCACAGAAATTTTTTCTTTCTCTCTTCTGCTGTCCAAGGGTCTCTGGTCCTTCTGTATAACAAAGGCCACTTACGAATATTGTCTGTGTTCTCCCTGACAATGTCAGTCTTCAAAAGGTTATCAGCCAGGACAAAAGCACTTTCCTCCACAGTGTCAAGCAACATGGTCGCTGCCCGTAGCTGATCGCTTGTAGTCAGGTCTCTCCACGCATTTGAGGCTTGTGGCTGGAGAAGGTTGTTAACTGTCTCGACCATCGCCTACAAGAGGATGAACAAAATGACAGAGGTCTCTAGTGAACTCACAGAGCTGTCAGAAATCCAGGTGTACATGTTGCTCAGCAAGCAAGGATCAGCGGTGTGCATGAGTTCAGTATTGTCCTAGCCTCCCCTGTGACTTGTTGCAGCAGAAGCATTCATTATTGTGTTCTGTTAAAGCCCTAGCTGAGACTGCAAGGCAAGAGAAAAACCAGCTTTTGTTTTGAAGGACAACAAATAGATCCATGCTTGCTTCTTAGAATCAATAGCAAAGGCTTCAATAAGACTATAATCACATAATTAAATTATTTGGCTGTGGAACTGCTGGCAAGTAATTTAAGCCAACACTTTTATCATATCACCCACAAAAAATCATTTTTTCCCCTACATATCACCATAAAACTAAATGCTGAATGCAGCAGAGGTTAAAGGGATGACAACAGACAGGACAATACAAGAATTTGTTGCCTATAAGTTGAGGACTCACTGAACAAACCAACTTTTTTTTCTTAGCCAGCTGGGAAAATGTCAGAATGGGAAAAATATCAAAGCATACATACTTCCAGGGGCTTGGGATATGTTATGTGTGAAGAAAAACCTTCTTCATGCTGTTTAGTATTAGGGAAGGGAATAAACAGTTGGAACTTGCTACCTGTGGCCCTCAGGTGTTTTCCTTTAAAAAAAAATCAGCAGTAGGTACACATAGAGATAAAAAGCCACAGTTCTCATTGCTTCCTCCAAAAGAATCATCTCCCTAGTTACAATTTATATATTTCCTGTGGTTAGGTTTATGCTCTAGGTTACAAAGGAAAACAAAACAAAACAAAACAAAACAAAAAAAAACGGTTCTCCCAATAAGGTCTTCTTAAGGTTTCATTCAAACACAGAATTGCAAAATAGAAAAAATATAACACCTGCAGTTTGAAAGTGATCATCCCTGAATCCACTGATTATGAAATATACATCCAATCGAGAAAAAATTTGAATAAACAGCCAACACAGGCAATTTCTAGGCAGTGCATGGGTGTTTTAAAACAAGCCTCGTCTTATTGACACATTGGCAGAAGGATTAGGAGAGATTGAAGAAATACCCATTGCACTGCCGTGTTTTCTTCTGGCTGGTGTTTTCATAGTAACCGACTCACAACTGTTAAAAATTCAGCTTCATAATGAAACACCTTGGCTGCCAATTAACACCAGCTTCAAAAACTAATTTGCCTTTTGATAAGAGTTGTTTTTTCTTGATATTTTTCCCCGCTACTCCAAGTTTTGGCCAAAAATCAACATCACTGGACTCTCATGTAAACTAGTCCTACTTGCAACTTGAGTACTTTGCATCATTTAAAAACAAACAACAAACAAAAAAACACCAAAAAAAAATTCTCATGAGTTTAATAACTGGGCGTTCTCACATAGTCTGCTTAGTTCTGCCATGTGTTCTGAGTTTAAAGCATGACCTAGAAGCCAGACAAAAGCATTGCCATTCACAACAAAATGATTTGCTTTCCAGGAAGTTCTCTATAGTGATAATGCCAAGAGGATATGCCAAAAAGGAGGTGCCACATAGGAAACAAATGAACAAAAACAAGTTTAGGTATTTTCAGAAGCCAGAGAACATTGACCTCCAGGGTGCGAAGAAGTATTCTTTCCGTGATTAGATGATGCTCTGAATTCATTAGAAATGCTCTGAAAATCCCACACACAACAGAAATTATGCCTGTTCTTTAAGGAGCAGCCATTGTAAGATTAGTGAAGAATCTTACACCGAGTAAGTCTTATCCCAGGGAAAGTTTTATTGGGGACAATGCAATATTTCTGCTCTGCCCTTTATTGTTTTCAATTTTTTTTTTAAATTTAAGAAATGCAAAAGGAGGGAAAAAGGAAAAAAAAAACACAAGAAAAATAAACAACTGGGGTGCCTGGGTGGCTCAGTTGGTTAAGCAACTGCCTTGGGCTCAGGTCATGATCCTGGAGTTCGGGATAGAGTTCCGCATCAGGTTTCCTGCTTGGCAGGGAGTCCGCTTCTCCCTCTGACCCTCCCCCTTCTCATGCTCCCTCTTTCTCTCATTTTCTCTCTCTCTCTTTCAAATAAATAAAATCTAAAAAAAAAAAAAAAAGAAAGAAAGAAAAAGAAATAACTATGGTCAACTCTGAGAATGTTCTAAACAGCCACCTGTTTACAATAGATTGCATTAGGTAAAATACCATGTTTGAATTGGTAACTAACGAATCAAAGGCACCTCTAATTAAATTATCTTAGTTTTGCCTACGAAAATGTATGCAGTACAATATTTTCATAGTTATAAATTTTAAGTACATTTATGACAATTCCATCTTCCCAAATAAATCAGGATCTTTAAAGAAGTTTTCTATTAAAGCCCAAATGATTTCAAAGTTTATTATAGAAATGACAGACATAATATATGGTCCTAAAACCTTGGATAGGTTAAGCACAAATCTAATATTTACTTATTCTTCTTTAAAAAGCACGTGTTGTGGGGTGCCTGGATGGCTCAGTCGTTGAGCATCTGCCTTCAGCTCAGGTCATAATCTCAGGGTCTCGGGATCAAGCCCCGCAACAGGCTCCCTGCTCATTGGGGGAGGCTACTTCTCCCTCCCCCTCTGCCTGCTGCTCCCCCTACTTGTGTGCTCTCTCTGTGTCAAATAACTAAATAAAATCTTAAAAAAAAAAAAAAAAAGCATGTGGTGTGATTGCTTAAGTATCAACATAAGGAAATTTCAACACATGGAATTCTGTAGTGCGAAAACAAGAATATGGAATTGGGAATCCCATCTGCTGAGCTTGTACCTGGACTGTGCCACTTACTAGCTGTATGATGTTGTGCAAGTCACTTAACTTGTCTGCAGTTGATCCACAAATCAGAGACGATAGGATAACCATTTTGTACTGCATGGCGATACAAATGCATTTATGTTGGCTGGCTCATAACACCTGTTCAAGGTGTAACCTTACATGGACTTTCATTGGATATCTAAGTCCACCTTAGGAGGAAGAGAGGTCTTCACTGATGGAAGCATAGGTTATACCTGATAATTACAAAATATCTGTTCTGAAGTGAGATCCCAAAGGATTAACTTCTACAATGTAACCTTCATGAATCAACCTGTTTCACAACTTAACTACTAAAGACTATATCACCTAAAGCTTTGAGGAATAGGACAGGACAGGAACATGTGTATTAAATAATTCATAATGTGTATTTTAGAAGTTTGAACAGCATGGTTAAGTCAGTCTAATAGCTTTATCATTAATGCAGTTTGTTTAAACTTTCCAGTGTTTGTTGACATGTCCCTGTTACCAGCTTAATGAAGGCCAATTACTCACACCCTTCAATGACAAAAGACTGTATTTTGTTTTCCTTGTACATTTTTGCATTTGTAAGTTTACCCACAAATGATGACACTGTATCATCATATGTATGATATGTGTGGTTTTGTTTTTGTTTTGTCACACTAGTTATTTGCATTGCTCTCATTAGTTCAACATCTCTTTAAAACAGGGTCTTGGGGGAGAGGAAAAAATAAAACAAGATGAAACTAGAGAGGGAAACAAACCATAAGAGACTCAATCATAGGAAACAAACTTAGGGTTTGCTGGAGGGATGGGATGTGGGGGGCTGGAGTAACTGGGTGATAGACATTAAGGAAGGAATGTGATGTAATGAGCACTGGGTGTTATATAAGACTGATAAGTCACTCGCCTCTACCTCTGAAACCATCAGTGCATTATATGTGAATTAATTGAATTTAAATTAAAAAAAAAGAAAGAAAGAAATCCAAGGACAGAAGTTTGAGAAGTACCTAACTTTAAGGAATTTAAGGAATGTATTGAGGAGGAAAATATCTAAAGCCAGAGTAAGTGATCTAAGACAAAGCAGAAAATCTGGGAGAGTATAGGGTCTAAGCCAAGGATTGATTGATTGATTGACTGATTGATTGATTTTAAGCCAAGGATTTATTATGAGATTTGTATCCATACAGATTTTTAAAAACCACTGTAATTGTCCAAAGAAATAAAAATGAATGAGTAACAGGGATGAGTGCTATAGCAAGGAAAAACATAAATGGGACTTAAAAGAGCTTAATGGCTATTTAATTTACAAATTAATCCCCAAGGCAACTTCTTCAAGTAGTTAGTGGTTTCCTATGTTGTGTTCCCATAGCTCTTGGTGCATATTCCTTTATTATGGCACTTACATGCCATATTATAATTTGTCTGTTTTATACATTAAAATGTAAGTACTCTAAGAATAAAAAAAAAAAACAGGTTGATTTTCATTTTATTTGGTTACAAGGGCATTAGCTTAACTATGCTTAGAACCAAAGCTGAACAGGGAATGTACAATGAATTTGATTAAAGTGAGGTATGGGGACATCATTTAGTGTCCAATAGCTCTCACTGACTTCTCTTTTTCTGCTATAAATAATTTTCTGATCTAAAATTTACATGATAAAGTTGAAAAAAAATACACTTGACCCAGCATTTATCATAAAGACAAGACTTGATCCACGAGAACAAAAAAAAGAAAAGAAAAAAAAAATCATCTAATGGTTTTGATGTATACAGACTGAAATAATCTAAAATTCTGAAAATAAATTTAATCAACAATGTCCTTGTCAGAAACTAAATGTTAACTCACTTTATTTTCTTTTCCAAATCACTAGAAACTGAATAGGAGATGGTACTGGAAATTTGCATTCTAGTTGTCACTAAATTTCAGTGTGTCTTTGGACATATTTATGTTTTTTAACCAATCAACAAAGTGGGAGCTACATGAGAAAATAAGGTTCATTATGTTTCAAATTGAGAGAGTTAGGGGTTTTCTGCTATTACATATCACTCTTCTCATTATATAGTTTATGGCTAGACTTTAAAGTGACTTTTGACTGTTTCTAAAAATCAAATATAAGTTAGAAAGTGTAAAATTCACTTAGATTCGTACCATGATCATGAGCATACTATATCCTTCTGGACATATATT